CTGCTTTGGTAAGTCCTCCTATATACAAGCACATTCTTTTGGTACATGAATCCTCTACTTTGTTAAGTCCTCCCATGTATAAGCACATTATTTTGGTACATGGATCCTCTACTTTGGTAAGTCCTCCCATGTATAAGCACATTATTTTGGTACATGGATCCTCTGCTTTGGTAAGTCCTCCTATATATAAGCACATTATTTTGGTACATGAATCCTCTACCTTGTTAAGTCCTCCCATGTATAAGCACATTATTTTGGTACATGGATCCTCTGCTTTGGTAAGTCTACCTATATATAAGCACATTCTTTTGGTACATGAATCCTCTACTTTGATAAATCCTCCCATGTATAAGCACATTATTTTGGTACACGAATCCTCTACTTTGGTAAGTCCTCCCATGTATAAGCACATTATTTTGGTACATGAATCCTCTACTTTGGTAAGTCCTCCTATATATAAGCACATTATTTTGGTACATGGATCCTCTGCTTTGGTAAGTCCTCCTATATATAAGCACATTATTTTGGTACATGAATCCTCTACTTTGGTAAGTCCTCCCATATATAAGCACATTATTTTATTACATGGATCCTCTGCTTTGGTAAGTCCTCCTATCTATAAGCACATTATTTTGGTACATGAATCCTCTACTTTGGTAAGTCCTCCCATATATAAGCACATTATTTCAAACTTCTAAGAACATGTTAAAAATAATAAATATTCATACCTTTGGATTTGAATGTTGTGACAGAGATTTATCAGTAGAAATGGGGGGGGGGGATACAAACAACCAAGGTGTTCCCTGACACTCTGAGAGATTGATTATAAAAGACAATTTTGGGTGTAAACTGAATAAAATTTTTTTATGTACTCGGCTCTAATTTAAGGTTCTGGAGCACCGACTCCAGGTTAATCATAGATTCTAGTTTAACCCAAGATTTCTAGCATAATATCTTATGTAAGCGGTGTAATAATATCACTTTATTTACCAACGGTATTCACTACCGGTATTTGTGTTTGGCAAGGACCACTATCACTCATTTTTTTAAGATTAATTAATTCCTTTTCCACTAGCATGAAGAAATTTGATATTTTAAAACTCATTTATTTTCTTAACAGCATGAATTCATATACTTCTATCAACATAAAAAAATAATGTATAATATTCAAAATTAGTTTATTTTCCAAGCAGCTAGCAACATGTTAAAAATGACGAATTTCTGAACCAATCAATTAATTGACATGAAAATAAATAATTCAAAATTAATTATTTACTTTTATTTACCTATGATAGTCAGAATACAGATAGTTATATGTGTATCTCCAATATTGTACAATTACATTATTAGATAAATATTTAACTCATTATTTTTCAGCACACTTATAGCTGGAATTCTACCATTTGGTGCGATGTTTATTGAACTGTTCTTCATTTTCACTGTAAGTTAAAGAATTTTATGTAACATTCACAAATATTATGTTAAAGATGTATAGTAAAGTTGACAACATTGTTATGTGTGGATTTTAAATCTTTGTTACTATAGTTTTACACTCAAATCATGTAATTTAAAAGTTAAAACTATTTTTTTAAAAGTTGTACTTCATAAGATTGTGATCTACCAAAATATATGGAACTTAAATCTTCATTTCTATGACACTCGTACAATCATTTTAGTTAATAGTTTTGTTTTGAGTTTACTTAATGATTATAAACATTTTGTATTACAACTAACAGCTTTTACCGTAAGGAAGAATATTTTTTAAAACAGGTACGATGTTTTAGTCACTGGTGTGATTACAGGTTTTAATGGTAAAGAATGTTTTAGTATTTAAATCAACATTCTAACAATTTATTTAAATTAGCAAATCAATAGTGGCTACTTATGCATATCAATTTGTGTGAATTGACAGATTATTTATTTATAGCTGAAGACAAAAAACAAAGAGTGAATACATATGAGTGTATGTGGAGTATGTTGTGTCAAAGATAAAACTAGGAATGTCTGGGGAAATAACGTTGAAAGACGTATAGAGATTTGCTTGGGTAAATTAAAATTTATAGTTTGATTTTATTAATAAGGCTTCTCTGATTCTTCTTCTGTTAATGTCACGTTCATGTTTTAGTGACACTCTGTTCTGAAAAACTGTGGTTATTTTTGTTCATGGACTTGGGAAGGGTGTTTTTGGTGTTATTTTAATCCAATGTTCACATTACGTCCTGTTTCACCTACATAAAAGGCTGAGCAATTGTTACACTTTATTTTGTAAATATTTCCTGGTGTTTAAAAAAAAACTATCTTTGAAAACATTGCAGGAAAGTAATAATATAACTGAATCAATAGCAACTTATCTCAAGAAGAATCTCCATCTAATTCATCACAGAACAATGAACAACTGAAACAAATATCCAACATTCCAAAAACTTCGTAGATGAATTTAGTGGAAAAAACTTTTAAAATGCTAAACAATAAGAAGCCTAGGAAACAAAATTTGACATCAACAGAAAAAAAAAAGGCCTAAAAATTCATTAAAACAACAAAGAGCTGATAAAGGATATTCTATCTAACGAACAGTATGATTCGTTAATAGTAAATATATTGAATGATACTTCTATTTGGTAAAACTATGACCTTAACGCAACATACAACAAAAAAATTAAGAAAGCTACAAGATGTTATTATAACACTTTAAACTACAACCTTGGTAAATACTTTAACTAGATTTCAGAACCTTATGTTTCCAAACTAAGCATCTAATTAAAAACACTTCACACCTTCCACAACACTTACATAGTTTAAACAACAACGTCATTATGTCTAGCTTTGATGGCGTAAGCCTATTCCCTCAAACCCCTTGTCAATACAACTTACTTCAGAAATCATCTCGCAAGACCCTAAAAAGAGAATCAACATAAAACAGTAACACCTAATTGAACTGTTACAATTAGCTACAATACGTAGATTCATACTTCCTTCAGTTACAAAGACATGACATGAGAAATACATTATCAGGTACTCTGGTCACTCGTTTCTTGCATCACATAGAACAACATGCCTTAAACATTTCCATATATAAGCCTACATTTTGGCTTAGATTTGTGGCTTTACTTGTCAAGATGAACAAACAAAATTCCTTTAACACAAAGACGTACTATTTACAGTTGAAAATAAAAATAACTACATCCTAATGTTTTTAAATGTTAACATCACATGAATCCCCCATGAATTCACTACTAACATTCTTAGCAAAAAACACATAAAGGAGAAATTACACAAACTGATTTTCTAATCATGTAATCCACCAGAAGTTAGACACTCTAAAGAGCCTCCTAAATTTATCATACATTATATGCACCACAGTAAACATTGATGAAGAAGTTGCACACTCAAAAAACATTCCATAAAACAGAGAAAACTAAACAGTTACATTACATGGAAGATATTAAGATACTTGTATCTGAAATCTGGAAATGGCTAGCATGTAAATATAAGCTTAACATAATGAATATATTAATTTTAACCCCTGGAATGAAAGTTAAACACGTTAAAAAAGCTATATAACAAACCCAACCCACCAGCAAATATTTACAAAATAAAGTCAGTACTAAAACATGAATATGATAGTAACAGAAGAAGAAGAAGAATCGGAGAAGCCTTATTAATAAAATCAAACATTCCCTCAATTATCCAGATATCGAGGCACATCTCTATATGTCTTTCATCATTATTTCCCAAGACATTCCTAATCTTATACAGATCTTTTACACAACTTTTCACATACTCATATTTATTCACTTTTTTTCTATTCAGCTATAAACAAATAATCTATGCGTAAGTAGCCACTATCAATTCTCTAACTTAAATACAGATTGTTGAATGTTGACTTAAGTACAAATAACCTACTCTACAATTAAAACCTGTGTACTTGAGACATTGTACCAGTAACTGAAATTTATTATTACCTATTTTAAAAAGCATTCGTCCATAACTCTCAAATCTGTAACTTGCGTGATGAAATAAAACTCATCTTATATTTGGTCAAACAAACCTGTGTTTATCATAGAAAATCTATAGATTTATTTATTTCACATACTTACTCTTCATTTAGTTGAATATCTGCAGATAAAACTGAGATACCCTAATTGGTTTTAAGATCCTCTTGAGTTCAACCATGTTTTATTTAGTCAGTCACTGTAATAGTTGGTGCTAACAAACTCTAAACATAGAGGGAAAACATGTGGTGACGGACCCAAAAATACTATAAATATAGAGAAAACATGTGGTGGTGGACCCAAAAATATTATAAATATAGAGAAAACATGCTGTGGTGGACCCAAAAATACTATAAATATAGAGAAAACATGTGGTGATGGACCAAAAATATTATAAATATAGAGAAAACATGCTGTGGTGGACCCAAAAATACTATAAATATAGAGAAAACATGTGATGGTGGTGGACCAAAAATATTATAAATATAGAGAAAACATGCTGTGGTGGACTCAAAAATACTATAAATATAGAGAAAACATGTGGTGGTGGACCCAAAAATACTATAAATATAGAGAAAACATGTGGTGATGGACCAAAAATATTATAAATATAGAGAAAACATGCTGTGGTGGACCCAAAAATACTATAAATATAGAGAAAACATGTGGTGGTGGACCAAGAAACATTACATGTAAAGATAAAAACATCCAGTGTTTTCAATGGTTTCAGTAGCAAAGAAAAAAACAGCCTTTTTAATTTTTGTTAATTTATATAGAAAATAAAATGTGTAAAAGACCATTCCTACTGACTGTATTGTTAGTTTTATATAGAAATAAATCTTGTGTTATAGAACATTCTGGTTAATTTACTCGATCGAAATCTTAAAAAAATGATATTGCAACAAATATTTCATTGTTCTTTTCATAATGAATATATTTCTTGTTTTCCAGGCCATTTGGGAAAACCAGTTTTACTACCTGTTTGGATTTCTTTTTCTTGTCTTCATCATTCTTATCATCTCTTGTTCCCAGATATCCATTGTAATGGTATACTTCCAGCTTTGTGGAGAGGTGGGTTTATCATATGAATCTCTAAATATCTACACATTTTGTAGTGTTTTGTCTAGAGGTAATTGTAATAAGTGTTTCATAACTAAAATTATTTTATTGGCAAATGTGTGAAGTGTTTTAAGAGTTTCACATACAAAATAATTTCATAAGTACTAATTTATTAAATGATAAAGCATGTGTACAATGAATAACTAGCTTCGTTGGGTTTACAAAACTTCAGCTAAAAAGTTATCATTTCGGTAACTTGTGAGACTTCAAGACTGATGTTTTTCACATGAGACTTGGATAGTTAGAATAATTGAAAACAGTAATAATTAGAAATACTAATTTCAATTTGTTGATTATTTTTGTGGCATTAATGTTTTAATCATAGTTTTGATTGATCAGTTATTTTACATGACATTAAACATTATAACTGAAACCCATAGGTAATTGTTATTCATCCAGCTCTGTTGTATGATGTAATTCTGTTAATAAATATTAATCATTAATCTCAGCATAAAACTTATTAAGAGTTCAAAAACTTGTTTATGCAATTGTTAAAACTAATGTTAGTCCACATGTTCTATTACTAAATGCAGTGTAAAGCTAGTCCACATGTTCCACTGTTAGGTTGCAGGGAAAAATTACAGTCATAACTTCAAAAAAAGTTATGCTTCACTTGGGATACCGTGTACAGCTTTGGTTAGACTTCACTTGGAATACTGTGTACAGTTTTGGTTAGGCTTCACTTGGAATACAGTGTACAGTTTTGATTAGGCTTCACTTGGAATACTGTATACAGTTTTGGTCTTCTTATTTAAGAAAAGATATTTTCTTATTGAAAAGGGCTACTAGGATAATCCTGTGGATGGAAGGGTTATTTCATAGGGATAAGATAAAGATCTCTTAATTTATTTTCTCTTGACAAAAGAGCAGTGAAAAGAGGTGATCTTACTGAAGTTGAATAGCTTATTTAAGGAATCAATAGAATTAAAGTCTCTGATTTTTTTATATTATATTCTAAACATAATAGCTTGAGAGAATACAAGTTTAAGGTTGAAAAAGACAGACCAGACTCCAGTTAAGACAGTTTTATTTTTCTAACAGGATGGTTAGTTTATGGAATGAGTTTCATTTAATACTAGTGTAGGCCCAAACTTTATAGGAGTTGATGAAAAATAAAAGGTGGGCAAGAACAATCTTGAAGGACCAAATAGTCCTTTGTGGTTCGTATGTTATCTTGGATCTGTTATGCTTTTATCTTTCCACACATAGAACTGTGTTTGCAAGCATAATCTCATGTATTTATATTAACATAAAACCTAATTATCATTAGGCCTGTTACAAACAGAAATTTTATAATTGTAGCAAGTGTTCTGTAACTAGTTGTTTTATTGGTAAATCTAAAATTATACCCAAACTTCTATTCAAAGTATAAAGTGTTTCAACAGTTTTACATGCACACAAAAAACAGATACTAAAGAGTTTTAATTTTTGTTGGTAAACCCTGTACTAATCACAGTGTAATGTGTTTCAGGACTATCACTGGTGGTGGAGATCATTCATCGTATCTGGTGGATCAGCAGTTTATGTCTTTGCATATGCCGTCTTTTACTTTTGGACCAAAGTATGTTATATTTCATTATCTTTCACTCACTTTCAATAGAATCCCTTCGTTAAATTTCTTCTTTTTTATTTTCATAATTAAGCCAACAACTAGCAGTGTGACCTATGGTCTTGTGTAAAAATTTTGTGCTGTAATACACTGTAAAATATTCATCTTTCAGCAATCACCATTTCTGTCTTCTTGGAATATCATCATCATTTAATTTAACATATCTAACTTGATACCTTATTATAATTATGGTTAAGTTTACCAATAAACCTTCGTGTTTTAGTGGTTAAGGTGAGTTTAGTAACGAATACCCTGCATGGACAATTTGTGGGAAGGATGCTACTTCTATACACTTCAAGCAGTCATCATCATGACCTGTTACAAGATTGTGGGAAGGATGCTACCTCTGTACACTTGAAGCAGTCTTCATCGTGACCTGTTACAGGATTGTGGGAAGGATGCTTCTTCTGTACACTTGAAGCAGTTGTCATCATGACCTGTTACAAGATTGTAGGATGGATACTTCTTCTGTACACTTCAAGCAGTCTTCATCATGACCTGTTACAAGATTGTGGGAAGGATGCTACTTCTGTACACTTGAAGCAGTCGTCATCATGACCTGTTACAAGATTGTGGGAAGGATGCTACTTCTGTACACTTGAAGCAGTCGTCATTGTGACCTGTTAGAGGATTGTGGGAAGGATGCTACTTCTGTACACTTGAAGCAGTCTTCATTGTGACCTGTTAGAGGATTGTGGGAAGGATGCTACTTCTGTACACTTGAAGCAGTCTTCATCGTGACCTGTTAGAGGATTGTGGGAAGGATGCTAATTCTGTACACTTGAAGCAGTCTTCATCATGACCTCTTACAGGATTGTGGGAAGGATGCTACTTCTGTACACTTGAAGCAGTCTTCATCATGACCTGTTAGAGGATTGTGGGAAGGATGCTACTTCTGTACACTTCAAGCAGTCTTCATCATTCCTTCATTCATTAATAAGCTTACCTTACGTACTGTTTATATGTTAACTCTTGTTTTAAAGCAGTAATTTCTTGATTTTTTGTTTAGTACATTCACCAAAAGCCTAATATGATAATATAATTTTTCATCTGCTTTTGTCTCTTATCAGTTGGAGATCACCGAGTTCATACCAACGCTCCTGTACTTTGGTTATACTCTGTTGATGGTGTTCACATACTGGATGTTGACTGGAACTATTGGGTTTTACGCTGCTTATGCGTTCATTAGAAAGATTTATGCAGCTGTGAAAATTGACTAATGTATGATCTTAGTTCGTAAAACAAGAATTAGAAAATTGTGAACATAGTTAGATTTAAGAAAAAATTTGAAGTGGTGATTTTTTTTTTTTAATGCACTCATGGATGGGCATTGTGAAATGGACACTGTCTTTTGTTTTCTTTTGTACAAGTTATTTAAACAAGTTCTTTTGTTCATTTTTTGTAATTTGCTTTCTTGACCCACCTTTTCGAAAACGTGATGAATTTGTTTTACACTGAGCAGGATGTCTGATATTTCTAAAACATAAAGAACTTACACATCTTCTTTATATATTGCTGTATAATGGAAATTGTCAAGAAAACTCAAGAATTTGTCATCCACTTTGAAGTTAAAGATAATTCTGTTGGGTTATTGGTGTATATTTTATAACATATTTAAACGTACATTCTGTATACAACAATAGCTCAAACGAGGTGATATATTGATATCTTATTTTACATACTTTGTTGTTTGTTTCTTTTCTGCATTTCATTCATTTTGTAAAATGAGGATTTTTGAGCTCATTACTAGTTCTGTTTTGTCAGAGTGAGGAGAAAGTGTATTTCTGTTAGCTTTATACGAAGGTAAAGTGTTCAGTTTTGTTCTGTAAAGGAGACAAAGCTTTCGTGAATAATAAAGTGGATGAGGTTTGTAAATCAACTTAGATAAAGTATTTGAACTGTACAATTTTCAACTGTAAGGAGTGGTTTGTTTTTTTTCATTATTTTTTTTTTCAGTTGTGTCTGATGTTTATCAGAAAAATATTTTGATCACTTAGTTTTTTGTGCATCTGTTGGATGGTAATTATAACAAAAGTTTGTACAAAAGTCAGGTTTTGGGCTACTTTGAAACATTAAAAAATCCATTGAAATTTATGACCTGGATTGTTGTTTTTCACTACATTTTAGACAGGTCTTTTGTGTCAAACCTAGTTACACGCAGTATTACCACATGAATATGTTCAAGTTTTTCTTTAACTTCTTTTTTTTATCACATTGGTAGTTAATCCACAAATGATTAGCTTGTGTGCTTATCATTCCCTACTTGTGGGATCTACATAATGTATTATCTTTAATTGTATTTTGTTTTATTTTCTATGTGAAATACATAGGAAACACCAGCAGTAATTTGTGAGACTGTTACCTATGTTATTAGGGATCCTGTAACAACAAAGTCATGAACCTACAAATAACTTGGTGTATCAGTCATTTAGAAAAATCTGTTATATTTGGACTCCATCCATAATTCTAGGGTTAACATACCATGCAGAAAAGTTATTTCTCTCATGAGTGACTTAATCTGTTTCCACAGTTGGTTGTTTTATAGGCTTAAAACATTTGGGATATAACAACCCCTAAATAAGGCAATGCTTTTTAATTTAAAGAACAGATTATAAGATATGCAAGTGGTTTTAAAATAATTTGTCTTGTTGTTGGCTGTTGTCATCCTGTATTCATAAAGAGTCACACTGGTTTTCAGTTTACATCACATACAGTTCTTTATAACTGTTTACTTGCGTTTAGGATCTTTTTGTTTATTTTTAACCTAAAAATTGAACATTGAAACACTTAAACTTTTGATGGTATATGTTACATCAATTGTATTCCCATTTAATGAAGCCCAAAACTTGACAGTTTAGGTATAATATGGCAGTTATAATACTGCCCTTGTTTTCTTCCCCACCCCAATTCATATTTACCAGCACCTTTGTTAAACTATTTTAAATACTGCAATGGATGGAAATGAATGACAGTTAGGTGATTTCCAAAGAATGTGTGCTTGTGTAAATTTACTTTTTGGCTCAAGATAAATAATATATATTCAAAAGTAAAAAGAATATGAAAATGAAACAACATATTAGATATATAAACTAAACATCAAATTTGTTCCTACATCACAGTTGCACTTTTACCATTTTATCTTACTGCAGTGTTTGTTACAAAACAATAGTCGAAACATTTATTCAGTAAGTTCTATATAGTGAAAAGTATGTTGACTGAGTCCACAGTTGTCATTGGCCTTCAGGAGTGACTGTTAAAATATGAAATGCTTTTTTGTAATTATCGGTAACACCTTAAACAAGAATCAGATCTACGAGTTTATATGTAAATTTTATGAAGTCTGAGAGAATAAGACTTAAAATAATCCAAAGGTTAAATTACTCCAACTTAAGTAGAGGTTAGACTTTAATAGGTTAAAATAAAGTTGTATTGGCTTTCAATTGAAAGTACATTATTCCTTTTCATTACACTTTAAAATTCACTTCCCCAATAGTTACTGGCAGCTAATGTTAAATGTATCAATTTATTCAAAGAACACTTCGCTGAATAAACAGAAAAGATGTATGTGAAGGTAGCCTACATGTTCACTTCCAAGTTCCACCCCACTTATTTAAACAATGTTATTGGTGAAACTGACCAGGAGGGTGAAAGAAGCTCAAGTAGGGTCTGAGACAAGTTCTTATTCACTGAGAATTTTGTTTGTAATTCAAGAGAACAGAATGCCTGGGGAGAGGGGGGTAATATAATAATAACAATTCTATATTTTCCCACAAGATTATTTAAAGTAAGCACAGTTATATCTAGCTAGCTTAGGATTGTGATAACTGATGAAACTTTGTAGAATGGACAGCAACTGCCTGTTGTAGAGACACAAGTGTAGAGGATGTTTCGAAAGTCTTTCGTCTTCAGATAACTGCTTCCTATTAAAGTTGTTAAGTTTCTGTGTGTAATATGCGAATGTTTTTTAGTTAAATTACATTTAAGATGTTGTTGTTTGCTAATGCTTACAAACTAAGACATTTTTTAAACAGAAATAAGAGTTTAAATGTTGTTTATATATGAAGATCGAAAGAGGAGAAAGAACTGAACAATGTCACGTGATCCTGTTCATGTTTGCTGTCTACTAAAATAAGTACTTTGATGATAGCAAATTTAAAAACAAATTAAAATAACAAAGACTGTGTAATATAATTTGATTTTATTATAATACTAGCTTGAGTACTCGTCCTCTGGACGGAAGTTATGTTAATTCGTGATGAATGAAAAAGTCACTTCCCTTATATGTAATTGTAATAGATGCGCCCATAAAAACTGTAAAACACAAAATATCTCTGACATGCACCTGACAAACCTTCATGCCAAATTTGGTGAAGATCCATCAACAGGGGGCGAGGTAGTGGTAAAAAAATGCCCATAAAAACCACAAAACTGAAAATTTGCATGTATCTTTCCCCGTAGACCCAATGAACCTCCATGCCAAATTTGGTGAAGGTCCATCCACAGGAGGTGAGCTAGTGGTAAGAAATGCAATGCAACAGGGGGCCGTATAGACTAGCCATTGGAGTTTGCCTTAAACCCAGTTACAAATAAATTTATCTTAAATCCAGATATAAAGTTTGAGTGGATTACACAAGTCACTAACTCTAGGAATAGTGAGAATAAAAGGTCAACTCTAAGACTGAGGCTAAATTTTAATATATATTACTTTGTCTTGCATTGTTTTCAGTCTAGTCCTGTAAGACAAAGTAATCTTTATACATTGTGTTCAGTCTAGTCCTATATAAAGATTACTTTGTCTTACATTGTGTTCAGGCTAGTCCCATATAAAGATCACTTTGTCTTACATTGTGTTCAGGCTAGTCCCATATAAAGATCACTTTGTCTTACATTGTGTTCAGTCTAGTGCCGTATAAAGATTACTTTGTCTTACATTGTGTTCAATCTAGTCCCATATAAAGATTACATTGTCTTACATTGTGTTCAATCTAGTCCCATATAAAGATTACTTTGTCTTACATTGTGTTCAATCTAGTCCCATATAAAGATCACTTTGTCTTACATTGTGTTCAGTCTAGTGCCGTATAAAGATTACTTTGTCTTACATTGTGTTCAATGTAGTCCCGTATAAAGATTACTTTGTCTTACATTGTGTTCAGTCTAGTACAGTATAAAGACCACTTTGTCTTACATTGTGTTCAGTTTAGTCCCATATAAAGATTAATTTGTCTTACATTGTGTTCAGTGTAGTCCTATATAAAGATTACTTTGTCTTACATTGTGTTCAGTCTAGTACCATATAAAGATTACTTTGTCTTACATTGTGTTCAGTCTAGTGCCGTATAAAGATTACTTTGTTTTACATTGTGTTCAGTCTAGTCCTATATAAAGATTACTTTGTTTTACATTGTGTTCAGTCTAGTCCTGTATAAAGATTACTTTGTCTTACATTGTGTTCAGTCTAGTCCTGTATAAAGATTACTTTGTCTTACATTGTGTTCAGTCTAGTCCTGTATAAAGATTACTTTGTCTTACATTGTTCAGTCTAGTCCTGTATAAAGATTACTTTGTCTTGCATTGTGTTCAATCTAGTCCTATATAAAGATTTACTTTGTCTTACATTGTGTTCAGTCTAGTCCTGTATAAAGATTACTTTGTCTTACATTGTGTTCAGTCTAGTGCCGTATAAAGATTACTTTGTCTTACATTGTGTTCAATCTAGTCCCATATAAAGATTACTTTGTCTCACATTGTGTTCAATCTAGTCCCATATAAATATTACTTTGTCTTACATTGTGTTCAGTCTAGTGCCGTATAAAGATTACTTTGTCTTACATTGTGTTCAATGTAGTCCCGTATAAAGATTACTTTGTCTTACATTGTGTTCAGTCTAGTACCGTATAAAGATCACTTTGTCTTACATTGTGTTCAGTTTAGTCCCATATAAAGATTAATTTGTCTTACATTGTGTTCAATCTAGTCCCATATAAAGATTACTTTGTCTTACATTGTGTTCAGTCTAGTGCCGTACAAAGATTACTTTGTCTTACATTGTGTTTAATTTAGTCCCATATAAAGATCACTTTGCCTTACATTGTGTTCAGTCTAGTGCCGTATAAAGATCACTTTGTCTTACATTGTGTTCAGGCTAGTCCCATATAAAGATCACTTCGTCTTACATTGTGTTCAGTCTAGTGCCGTATAAAGATTACTTTGTCTCACATTGTGTTCAATCTAGTCCCATAAAAAGATTACTTTGTCTTATATTGTGTTCAATCTAGTCCCATCTAAAGATTACTTTGTCTTACATTGTTTTCAGTCTGTAATTTTCAACGAGGTCAAAGTCGAAAGTCCTTATTTAACTTTTCATGCTTATTTATTCTGCTATCATGGTTACTGTTCTTATCTGTAAGATAATCAGTGTACATGAGAACACCACATTTTTATCAGTATAAGGGAATTTCTATGAACATCGAGTGGTTACTTTAATCGCTATTGTTTTCACGCACCAGCCAGAAACGATAACCTTTTCTCAGATGATATATGAATTAGTTATAAAGCTCAACTACAACCCAAGTGAATGAATTTAACCTTCATTCAGTGGCTCCAGTAAATAACTTGTAGCACATTTCCAATCATTGTCACTTAGTCTCGAACATAAAACTATAAATAAATTAAAACACGGGTTTCGGCGAATTTTAAAAGCACGATCAGAATATTAGCCACAGTTAACGAACAAGTAAATTAACATAACATTTCTTGTCTTTTGTTAAGGCCAAACTTTACAGATTGGTGACAGACCTCGATATGTAAAGTCAATATTCGTTCCACAGCGAGTCTGCGGTAAGCTTACAGTCTTAAAACGCTAAAATCCATGGTCGATTCCCTGTGGTGTAGACAGCCTATTGAGTAGCCATACGAAATGCTAGCTAATCGGGTGAAAAGATTACGTACACAACTTAGAGTATATTAGTTGCTCCACAAGTAAGTCTGGAGGCTTATAGTGCTAAAAACTGGGTTTTGATACCCGTGTTTGGCATGCCACAGATAACCTATTTATTTTACCTTCAATGTTGTCTGTTCCACCGAACATGGAT